CCATTTTGTCTCTCATAGTTGAGGTATACCTATGATGAAAATTACAGGCCTCTCTCATCTTTTTAAGTGGGAGAACTTGCACAATTGGTGGCTGACTAAATACTTTTTTGCCCCACTGTACCTCTGTACATCAACTCTGTCTAAGCAAGGGGATGTTTCTGGCCATATGCAAACAAATTAACTAATTATAGATATACCTCTTTTACCCACTGGTGGTGGAGGAATTACATTACAAAAGTCCATACTCAGCATTTTATGGTGGTGTTTCTTCATGTGCCAAGTCTGAAATAAGTTGCATTTATGAGAACTACATAACGATATGTATTGGGACAGTGAAAAAATGGAATTTGATTTGATTTAATCTTAACTTAGGCAGTAAATCAATTGTATATTTTAGAAAAATGTTCTTCAACTACAGTGGAGTTTGTACATACATACTACAGTGGAATAGTTTGTACATGTGTGACATAGACATTCAGTACTTTGCTACTTTAAATGAATTTTGATTTAGGACTTGTTCCATGTGTTTTGCTGTGATAGGTACCTGATCCCCGTTTCCCCTTTCTGGGCATTCATTTTACCCCACGGATGGATGGCAGTGTCTGGCTTGGGCCTAATGCAGTCCTTGCATTTAAACGAGAGGGCTACAAATTTTATGACTTCAGCATCCAAGATTTTATGGATGCAACTGCTTACAGGTAATCTTTTCCATTTAGTATGCCCTCCCTCATTTTTCTGTTACTTGAATATTAATTGTGAGCATTGCAAGAAGCCTTATGCTGCTTGCTATGGGAAATGTGGGAGAGGACAGATGGTGTGGTTCATTTAAGATTGTAACTAGTATTGTCTTTAGGAATGTTGGGAGAAAAAGCAAATGCAAATGTTGACAGTATAAAATCTGATAGTACAGTAGAACCATTTGCATCATCTAAAGAAACTTAAAAGTGGCAGGTGGAAAACAGAAAAATAGACAAGATTGCTTATATTTAACAAAAATATAGATGTTTTACTGTTAAATTAAAAATGAATAAATCATATTTTTTAATTGAACGCTATCAAAGCAGTTAGAAAAGCAACCAATTTTACAGCATCTCAAGAATGTAAAAATGTATTGTGGCATGAAGTTTTGAAACAAGTCCACTATCAAATATGTAAAATGGAAAGAAGCAGAATAAATAAAAAGGCCTAAATCAAGATAACAAATATTAATCCCAGTGTAGTATTTCTTAGCTACAGTGCTAGAATGACTTTGTTACTATTAGTTTAATTCCTTCAGTGTAATTAGGATGTAATTATTAGTTTGTACTTTTAGTTGGTTTGTATCTGTTATCTATGAATATTTATTTATATGTTTACTTATTTACAACATTTCTGTATTGATATCTTCCAAAGGCTCCTGATGCTTTACAGAATTATGGATGATGAGAGAATTTAGCCTTCTTAGCCAGCCAGATCGCAATAAATTGTTTTCCTTTTCCCCCCAGTGGCTTATGGAAACTAGTGCTGAAAAATTTTTCATATGGGATGGGAGAAATGTACAGAGCATGTTTTCTAAATGCCCAGTTAAAGCAGCTGCAAAAAATCATCCCTGAAGTTACTATCAATGATATTCAGAGGTAAAACAAATATAAAATTGCTGAGATGACAAGAGTGTTTTTTTCCCATCTTGATTGAGTCACTTGAAGAATTTTAGAGGAGAGAGTATGTTAATATCCCTGAAGGAGATGCTCCATGATAAAGAGGTTACATCAGAAAGATGCATTTGATGAAAACTGTAGTCCAGCATTGCTGCCTCTCCACTTCCCTGCTACTTCCATGAGATTCAAAAACATGATGTGATGTCATTTCCCCTCTGCTTCTTAGTCAAATACAGGTAGTCCTCAAGTTAACAACCATTCGTTCAGTGACTGTTCGAAGTTACGGTGGCACTGAATGAATGGTTCTTAGCCTGGTCCCCAAAGTTACGGCTGTTGCAGTGCCCCCGCGGTCACATGATCAGAATTTGGGCACTTGGCCGCCCGCCTGCACTTATGACCACAGGGGCACTTCAACTCCCCCCACCTGCCTACCTCCCCCTTTGGCCCCCTGCACTCCACAGCCCCTGCCGCCCTGCACTCCACTGCCCCCAGCTGACCTTCGCCATCTTGCTCCTGCTGCTGACCAAACATGCATGGCCCTTTGCAAGGCTTTCTTCCTGAGGTTGCATGCAGCAATTTCCTTACAAGACCTGGGGAAGAAAGTACTGAGGCTCAGGGCTGGGAGGGACCAAGCTCGGAATGGCTTGGATTGGGATGGGTCCTCAGCTAACAACCGGTGGAATTCAGTTAATGACGGCAACAGGGAGTGCCGGGATTGCCATCGCTAAGTGATGCAGTCGCGTGACATCTCACTTTACAACCACATTGCTTAGCAATGGAAATTCCTGTCCCAATTGCCATCGTAACTTGAGGACTACCTGTACTGCACATTGTTTTAATGTGTTTTTATATACCATGGTTCTACACAGACTAGACTACTTAGATGCAGTATATGAATAAAAAAAATAGCATTTTATTTTTATACCATAGATCCTTCACAGAGATCTACAGTGGTACTTAAAAGTTTGTGAACTCTTGAATTTTCAATATTCTGCATAAATATGACCTAAAATGTGACCTGCGCTCCACATATGTCCTAAATTAAATGAAAAGAACCCAGTTAAACAAATGAGTCAAAAACATTATACTTGTTCATTTATTTATTGAGGAAAATAACCCAAAGCTATGTATTTGTGTGTGGAGAAAGTATGAAACCTTTGCTTTCAGTAACTGGTGTGCCCCCCTTGGGCAGCAATAACTGCAGCTAAACATTTCTGATAACTGTTGATCAGTCCTGCCCATCAGCTTGGAGGAATTGTAGCCCATTCCTCCTCACAGAACAGCTTCAGCTCAGGGATGTTGGTGGGCTTCCTCACATGAATGTCCTGTTTCGTGTCCTTCCACAACATTTCTATAAGATTAAAGTCAGGACTTTGACTTGGCCATTCCAAAACATTAACTTGCTTCTGCTTTAACCATTCTTTGGTCATACGACTTGTGTATTTTGAGTCATTGTCCTGCTGCATGACCCACTTTCTCTTGAGCTTTAATTCACAGACAGATACTCTGATGTTTTCCTGTAGAATTTGCTGGTACAATTCAGAATTCCTAGTTCCATCAGTGATGGCAAGCCATCCTGGTCCAGAGGCAGTAAAGCAGGGCCATATCATGATACTGCCATCACCATGTTTCACAGATGGGATAAGGTTCTTATACTGAAATGCAGTGTTTGCCTTTCTCCAAAACTAACACTTTTCATTCAAGCCAAAACGTTCTATTTTGGTCTCATCCATCCACAGAACATCCTTCCAATTGTCTCCTGGTTTATCTATGTGGTCTTTTGCAAACTAGACAGGCAGCAATGTTCTTTTTGGAGAGTAGTGGCTTTCTCTCTTGCAACTCTGCCAGGCATACCATTGTTGTTCATGTTCTCCTGATGGAGGCCTCATGAACACCGACATTCGCCAGTGCAAGGGATGCTTTTAGTTCCTTAGATGTTACCCTGGAGACCTCCCAAAGTATTACACACCTTGTTCTTGATGTGATCTTGGTTGACTACTCGTGGGGAGGGTAACAATTGAGTTGAATAATTTATACACGAATTGCCTGGCAGTGGACTGGTGGAATCAAACTCTTTGGAAATAGTTTTGTAACCATTTCCAGCCTGGTGAGCATCAGCAAATGTTTTTCAGAGGTCCTCAGAAATCTCCTTTGGTTGAGCCATGACACACTTCCACATACCTGTGTTGTGAAGATCAGACTTTGATAGTGAATTCCCAAAATTCTGTTGTTTAAATAAGACAGGGCCACCCACACTCACACCTGATTATCATCCCATTGATTGAAACATCTGACTTTAATTTCCTCTTCAAATAAACTCAACTGGGTGTTGGACTAGAAGACCTCCAAGGTCCCTTCCAACTCTATGATTCTATGTTTCTATGATAATCCTAGAGGTTCACATACTTTTGCCACACACAAATATGTAGCTTTGGATCATTTTCCTCAATGAATAGATGAACAAGTATAATGTTTTGACTCATTTGTTTAACTGGGTTATCTGTATCTAGTTTTAGGATTTGTGCAGAGATGACATGTTTTATGTCATATTTATGCAGAAATATTGAAAATTCAAAAGAATTTTTAAGCACCATTGTAATTCTGAATGTTCACATACTTTTGCCACACACAAATATGTAGCTTTGGATCATTTTCCTCAATGAATAGATGAACAAGTATAATGTTTTGACTCATTTGTTTAACTGGGTTATCTTTATCTAGTTTTAGGATTTGTGCAGAGATGACATGTTTTATGTCATATTTATGCGGAAATATTGAAAATTCAAAAGAATTTTTAAGCACCATTGTAATTCTGAATTCTTTGTGACCTAATCAGATTATTTCTTGTTTCCATCAAGAAACAAAAAAGAGGAAGAAAAGCAGCATTTATTTTAACAGGACTACCTTGCAGTTAATTTTTCAGGGTTGGTGTTAAAACATTCCTTTGCAGTATTACTACTGACATGTTTAATAGTTTTTTCCCTTTTTTCAAGGAATCTTAAGAATCATTCTTTAAGCTTACCTTTGTACAGGTTGCTAAATTCTGAGCAGGTCACCAGGAAAAACCCATAACAGTGTAATTATGGTGTAAATATCTACATAAAATATTTAGAATAAATCAAATGAAAATTGTTTTCTGTATGTATTTATGTTATGGAATATTTTATTTATTTTTGTTTGATTTCACCCAATTCTGTGAATAAGGGAATTGGGTAGACCTGATTGAGGATATTTATTATAACAATTGTTGAGCTTGTCAGCGCTTGTAAAGTTACATTTTAGCTTAATTTAATCTATGCCAAAGTGGAGGGAGAGATATTTCAATATGCTTCCATATGCTAGGGCCAATTTTTAAATTATGCATCTAAATTGCAAACTAGATTTTATACCATCCCAAAGCAATAAAACATATTGCTATTTGTCAATAAATCCTGAATTTGGCTTCTTATTTCCATTTTGAGTTTGTTTGTAACATATATAATTTAAACTACTAAGTGTATATCTTGAAGCAGGGGTGTACAGTCTGTACCCCTTTCCAAATCCATTGAGTGCAACTGCCAGAACCTTTCCAAAAGGTGCTGCTAAACTGTAATTTTTAATGTGATAAAGGGAAGCTATTAAAGGGGGATAAGTATTAGGACTGAAGTTTATTTCAAAGATCCAGTTGAAAGCAATATGATTGAATTTCTAGATCAAGTCAATGCATAAAATCAAATAAATTGTTTTGATTCAAAGATTCTGCACGCATGTATATTTTTAATTGAATTGATCCTTTGAACTGAATCTTTGAATTAACTTGGTTTATTAATAATAACAACTTATTAAACTTGTGTGTTTAATAAATTTTGTATAGTCAAATGGGTGATTTGCAAACCCACAGTCATTATATTTATGTCTTTAATATAATGTAAAGTTATCAAATCAGTTTTTGTCCTGGCCTCATTTTCTGTTTTTATCTGACACCATCCATTTTTTTGGAGTACAGCCCTTGGTTTACAACTCAGATCCCAAATGCAAACCCTCAGCCCTTATGCAATTGAATTTAAAGAAACAAATATTGTGAGGGCTTCTCTTAATAAGCCTCTCAATTGTTAGCTAAAATCAAGTGTGTATAATTAACCATGATAGTGCAGTAATTGTCTTAATTCCTCGTATTAAGTCTCTTTGGTGAGGGGGGAGTTATAAATTTAAATAAATAAATATTGAATTTTCAATGTCTTTCTTTTGCAGAGGGCCTGCTGGAGTCAGAGCTCAAGCCTTGGACAATGATGGGAACTTGATTGATGATTTTGTGTTTGATAGTGGTACTGGAGACATTGCTGCCCGAATACTCCATGTCAGGAATGCTCCTTCGCCTGCTGCTACTTCCTCCCTTGCCATTGCAAAAATGATAGCCAATGAGGTGGAGCAGAGATTTGAATTGTGACTGGGACAGTGGAGATTTGAGCCTCTTTGCTCCTCTGTAGTTAGCTACTGTGACTGACAGTCAAAGAAAAGGGCTATTTCTTGTTTGGAAACAGGTGGTTAGAAAAAGGAGTCACCTATTAGTTTGCCATACAAAAGCACCAAACTTCACCATGATCTGTATCACAGCACTGAAACTGTGTAAAAAGAAACACAGGAAGGCTACACGGATCCATTGAATATCGTATTAATTTGTTAAGGGGAAATGGTGTGTATATGTAAGACAGCAATTAACAAACCAGAATCTTCCTCCTCTTCCTTAAAAGATTTGCTTCTGTGAACAAAGTTCTGTTTCCAAATGGAGAAATAAGGAGGAAACCAGGCCAACAGAGCCATTTCTGTTTAGGTTTCTGTTTCTTACTTACACAAAAATTCAATGATGCATGGGCTAGCATCATTTTAAAACACGTGAGCAAGCATGAGATGTGATCGAATGACTTTTCTTAGAGTCATCTGAAGAAAATGGAGCCAATAGACACCAGCTGTCCATGGATCAATGCATCCTAAGCAGTTTGTTCCCTTATGTTCACGTCGGGTCATTCCTTAGGCTGTACCAATTGTCAGACTACGTGAGTGGTACCCTCTCTAGCAGAAGTTACATTGTGAAATTCCAGAAAAAGATACCAGTTTGTCAAGTGTCTTTGGTCTCCAGTTTTCATTTTTAGCAAAGGCTGACAAGAATAAAAGCTGCTTCCAGCCAGAAGCAAAGTACTGCATTATCCTTGCCAAACTCATTGAAAAAAAGGGCAGAACTCTAATAGCATGTTCCAAACACTGGAATAAAACACGGCTTTTGTCCTTCCATGTAAATATTCCCATGGTTTGTCTGTAGTTTTTTTGTTTTGCTTTGTCTTTGCTGGAAATTAGACCATTCTCCAAATTGCTAGCAAATGAATCACAGGTCATTTCCTGATTTCATGTGCATACAATCTTCCTTTTTTAGAAGGCCCAGGCATGTAATAATCATATGTGATTAAATTTAGAACATGTTTTTCAAATAAGAGTTAATGGGAAATAAGGGGTTAAAAGCAGCATTGATCAGAAGCATAATTAGAAGTCATATAGAGTTTTATATATTAGTCAATAATAAAATATAAAAAGCAATGCCTAAATATGGGGGCGATGAACAGAAATTTTAAATGATTTTCTTTTTAACTGAGGTGTAGTGTATATTATTTATCTGCAAATAGGCTGTATGAATCATTGGAGGTTCCTAATGTTTCTTTTTTTCTGAAACAGTGAAATCTCCATATCTGATTGGATAATGAACATGAGACTTGTCTTGATTTCCCTTTTCTACCCACACCCATCCCAATTATCAAGAGGCTGTACATTATTAAGCAAGAAAGTTAAAAGTTAAAATAGAGGAAAGCAAAGTGCTACATGGAACTAGACAGGAGATTCTAAAAAACATTTTCACATAGTAGAATTTTTTACCAATAGTTTTTGGCAGCAGAATCAGAAGGAACCACATGGTACCACTCCTTGTTAATACCAAAATCACTTAGTATTGTGGATTTCTTATTGGAAGGCCATGGCCTGTTCTTGGTCCCACCAGACTGCAAAACAAAGAAAAATTGTTCTAAGTTTCAAAATCACATTTGATGGAATGTAAAGAAAAATTTCTCAATAATAAGAGCAGTTCAGTAGTGGAATTCCTAGTGAGGTAGTGGGTTTCTATTCTGGCAGGAACTGAGGAATCATCTGTTGGGATACTTTAATTAGGATTTCCGCACTGAGCAGCAAGTTGGACTTCTTGATTTGGATCTGGTAATGCGCTCTACGTGGGGCTGCCCATAAAGAGTATCTGGAAGCTTCAGTTGGTGCAAAATGTGGTGGCCCGCATGGTTTTGTGCAAGTCTAGATTTGGACATGTGTCAGCTCTTTTGCGGGAACTACATTGGTTGCCAATTTGCTTCCTGGTCCAATTCAAGGTGCTGGTTATCACTTTTAAAGCCCTACATGGCTTGGGGCCAGGTTATTTGAAGGACCACCTCTTCCCAGTTATATCTACCCTGCCTACCAGATCAGGGAGGCAGGGTATGTTGAGAGTCCCCCACATTAAGGAGGTTCATCTGGCAGGACCAAGAAAAAGGACCTCCTCCATGATGGCTCCCTCCCTACTGAACATCATACCCCCAGAGATAAGACTGGCCCCCATCTTGATACTCTCCCAAAGGGCCCTGAAGACATGGTTTTGCCAGCAGGCTTGGGGATCCTAACTTGATATGGAGCTCATCATATGGCTAGTGTAAATATGTTGTCACCAGGCAGGTGGGGGGGTATAGTGAGTTTTCTATTTGGGTCTGATTTTGTAAGCCGCCCAAAGTCACCATGTGTGAGTTGGGTGACTATATACATTTGTTAAATAAATAAATACATAAATAAGGGTTCTCATGAAGAGAAAACTGTACTTTGCTTATTTGGCAAAAAGTTACTAAGTTTTCTTGGTAGGCAGCAACTAATGTTCACTATTGCAGTAAAAGTTACATACAAATAATTGGTTTTGGGTTGCTGCTTTAAAAGAATTAAAATATGTTGTCAGATGACATTTCCACAAAACATTTAATTTTTTCAAAAAACCCACGATATATTCCTGGATGTATAAAAAAATTAAGTCATGAACACTTTTGGTCGAAGGTATTTTCTAAAAAGAAGTAAACTCTAACCATGGTTCCTGGAAATTTGGACCAAGTTGACAACAATGTTTGATACTATAATAAGCCTTGTATAGGACTCTCAACCCATAAAGACCCACCACTGAACAGAAAAATCTACATGTACAGTACGGCATTGCCATATTTTCTGGATTGCATATAGTAGATCTAATAGTTCAATAAAATTATAATTACCACTTTGCCCCTAAATTAATTTTGTTTATATTGTGTTGAAATGCTTCAGCAATTATTTCTGACTCTATCTTCATATGATAATGAAATTTAGAGGAAATTACACTTTATTTCCTCACAATTTCCTGCCCCCATAACATCACATAAAAGGAGACAGGGAGAAGGTATTCTAAATATGATCCTTGCCTCTCTGTGTAATTGGAGCAAATATTTACATTTTAATGTTATTTTATTTTTATGTCATTTCATATTTTACTATTGGTTGCCTTATGCTAGAGATTTCTATTTTAAGTATGGAACACTCAAGACATTCTTCTGACATTGGAAAATCCACATCTTAGCCGTTTATATTCTCTCGAAAATTTGTGTGGTTTGAAACCTTAGTCATCTATAGGATTCAACTTACAGCATAGCTATACATTCCTTAGGTGACTAAACAGTTCGCTATTCCACTTTTTCAAGATTAAATAAAGAAATCAAAGTCCAAATAAAATATATTTAGGAATAGGTGAAACGATATCCCTTTCATTGTACAGATTTTTACATTAAAATGGAATTATAATGTTTTGAGAACCTATGGTACAAAACAAGCCACAAATTGCACTGTATCTTTGGTTTTGATTCCAATGGAGAGAAAATAGTTACACAGGTCAAGAAATATGTCAGAATACAGGAATTTTCCTATATAAAGTCAGATTGTTAGTTCAAAGGCAGTTTCTATGCATTAATAGAAAAGTTGAGCAGATCAAATGTCCAGCATTCAAGAGAGTTCAATCAATATAAGATGGCACTGAATTGTGTGTCTGTTCAAAATTTGTCTGGATTCTGGATGTAGCTGCCTGTGAAGCAACCCCTAATGAGTTTGCACATCACAAAAGGAAGGTATTTTTTTATGAACTATTTTGGGATGTGATGGTTTGGGGTTTTTTTTTTTTTTTTGCATGTGACCCAAATCTAAAGCACAAAGAACAGGGCAGTATAATCTGTAATGTACATTAGTTTGTATCAGATCAATTACAGGTAGTCCTCGCTTAACAACCGTTTGTTTAACAATAGTTTGAAGTTATGACAGCCTTGGAAAGGGTGCTTTATAGCCCTAAAGCACTTCTGGCTGTTGCAAAGAGTTGCCCCCACCCCCCGCAGTCATGTAGCTGCATTTTGGCTTGGCAACCAGCTTGCATTTATGACCAGTTGCCAAGCGCCCTGTGATCATGTGATCACCACTTGCAATCTTCTCTGCTGGCTTCCCCAGAAACCCCCCACAGGGAAGGTTGCAAGTGAAGGGGATGGAGGGAAACCTCTTGACGGTGTCCAGGAACAGAGCTCAAATTTCGGGATTGAGCTCCGTTCCTGCACACTGATGAGAGTTTTCCCCTCTCCTCTCAGCGGTGTGCAGGAACAGAGCTCAAATCCTGAAGATCTGAGCTCCATTCCTCCAGCCCCATGAAGGATTTCCCCTCCATCCATGAAGGGGAGGGCAAACCCTTCAGCAGGCTTTAGGGCCTGTGGAGCTGAAACTGTTCAGCAGGCAGCTCTTTTGCTCTCAAACAGCTGCCTGCCAGCAGGATTTCAACTCCCTGCAAAACTGAAATCCTTCAGCAGGCAGCTCTTTTGCTCCGTCTGCTTAATGATCCAGGAGATTGCTTAACGACCACAACCAGGAGTGCCGGATTGCAGTCGTTGAGCGAAGCAGTCACGTGGGTGTCTCGCTTAACAACTGTTTCACTCAACTATCAAGATTCCGGTCCCAATTGTGGTCGTTAGGCAAGGACTACCTGTACCAGATCCAAGAGGATATTATTTAGCAAATGACACTGAATTATCTTTGGCCCAAAGCTTTATTTTGAGTAGTTCATATGCCATACATTGCCAAAATATATAGAAAATGAGGAATGGGATTTAAGAATATCCTTTTGCTACCCAAATTACGCAATGACACAATTGGAAGGGTATCTTTTAATTCAGTACCCTCATTTAGAGACATTTTTCTGGAAGTATGGATGTATCGGGTGGGATGTCTTAAACTGTTATACAGTTGTTGTTGTTGTTCAGTCGTTAAGTCGTGTCCGACTCTTCGTGACCCCATGAACCATATTGCACCAGGCCTTCCTGTCCTTCACTGCCTCCCTGAGTTTGCTCAGTTTCATGCTCATGTTATACAATGCGTACACCTAATTTTCTGTATTTTGGTTAGTACTGAGTACATAGACTTGCTTGTATTTTGAATGTAAAAACACCTGTGCAATAGTTATGATGACTTAGTGGGCATTCCCAAGAGGTATGCATTATTCCAGATGGCTCAAAGCTTCTTGTATCATACCCCATTTCCATAGTTATTTGTGATCACCAAACATGAATGTATGTGACGCAGAAACAATACCTTAGCATAACACAGTATACAGTATGCTACTGAAATCTAAGTAACTTAATAAGTTATAAAGCAAACTGCATTGGGTCCCAGTTTGCCTCCGGGTCCAATTCAAGGTGTTGGTTATCACCTCTAAAGCCCTACATGGCATGAGGCTGGGTTACTTGAGCCAACCCCACACCTGATGTCTTCCCTTTATAAAACACAATAGTTTTTTCTTCACTAAAAGAAATTCTGAGCTAAATGGCATCATGGGGTACTGGTCATGCGTTGCTGTGGCAAGCTGAGGAAAGTATCAGATTTTTGCTTGGCCAAGGAGCAAGCTAAGGCTGCATTCCTATACTCATTTCCAGGACATAAGATCCACCAAACTAAAGAACTGGGTTGACATTTGCACTAATCCAGGGCTTGTTTAATGATGATTATCTAATAAACCATAACTAGATGAATTCATACAACACACAAAGTCTTAAAACATGGTTCACCA